CACCTATTACAAATATTGACCTGAAAAGGGAAAGGTGGAGTTTAGGGCAGCTCCAATACATTTTATAGATATAGATTATGGGAGGCAGGGAAATAGAAGACTTTCAATTTTCATGACATTGATGTCTAATGAATAAATGGTCAACCTCAAAACTAGTCTCCAATGCTTTGAAGTTCTATCTAAAAGTATCTCCAATGCAACTATAAACTATTAAAAAACTTGTCACACAAGTACAAATAGACAATGTTTAAGAAAAAACTTCTCCTATTCAAGGTGATGGACTCTGTCAAGTTGATAGGTAGGCAAAATCATAGACAATATCTAGACAAACATCTAGATGTAGAAGCTATGTTAGACATGTTAAATCATTAATTTAATTCAATATGTTTTTATTTTTAAAATATTAGATTTTCTTTCTCTTCGACTCTATTTTATTATCTTTATTTTGATCTCAATAAAAGACACGAAAGAGGAAATATTGGTATATATATGGAACCTATTGGAGATTAATGTTACTTGATCGTCTATTCATTAAATATCAAAGCGTCGACTAAAAATTCATCTTTTTGAATGTCATATAGATTGAAATCTAAGAATGAATTGAATATGCTCTAAAATCACATCTAAATTGGATTAAAAAATATTAATTATGTTGAGTCATCATGTCTAGACGAATTTCTAGACATTGGCTATTTTTTCATTTGTCACATCAATTTAGTGGTGTTCCATGCAACTTGTATTGAAGATTTTTTTTAATAAACGGTGTCTATTTATGCTTACGTGACAAATTTTTAAAACAATTCATAATTGCATTAAGATATTTATAGAAGATTTACTTATAGAATTATGATTTCACAATTAAGTCTATAGTGATTTAGATTCGTGAAAGTTGCAAACTTATTTTGAAATAATTTGAATTCGATTTTCACATATATATTCTTCATGAAAATTGTAAATCGGTTTGGAAAAAGAAAATCCATATCTTGCTTGCAATATTATGTTGAAAGGTAACTGTCCTTGTTGATAGGATAAAAAGTATTTTAAAAAATCTTTTTAATATGACATTGTTGGGCACGTGTTGGAAAATAAGGATGGTCGATCATCCATGTAGGGTGACCCGACCAGCAATACAATAAAGTAGGTTGGAGGGAATGTTTTGAACTTGAAATTCAAACTTTCAATTTCCTATAAGCTCCCATAACTCCAACACATAACCTCCAATTCATTGTGTTAAGAAAAATTGCGAGAAAAACATATTGCAATATGGTGAAATTTGTATGGAAAATATCACCAAAATTGAAAGGTATCTAAAACCACTATTTTGATATGAAAACTCACAAAATTTGGTACTAGGTTGTGGTTAATAATTCCCTTCCATTGTAATTAAGGCTGTCCGTGGGTCGGTTCGGTTCGATTCGGTTCTGAAGAGTTGGGTCGGTTCGGTTCGGTTCTGAAGATACCCGAACCGACCCAAAACTTTCGGGTATTTAATAAATGGACCCGTCGGGTCCAAATATAATTATGGAACCGTTCGGGTTCGGTTCCGTTCAGTTCGGTTCGGGTCCGTTCGGTTCCGTTCGATTCCGTACTATAATCAAATTTTTTAATATTTATAACAATACTACATAAATACAACTAATGACATTTCATTCGTAATTTTTACAAATTAACGTAGCCCAATTCATAAACAAATAAATAACTAGCCGTCCAATAAGATTAATTCCGTGCATACAAATACCAAAAAGTATATATTAATATTACGACAAAACTACATAAATTATATTCATTTGTTTCAAATTAAAATGGGATAATGAGTTTTAAAAATGATTTGGGTTTTAAAATTAAAATTATGAAATAATCTGATTTATTTTATTAATTTGCTAGTTTGTATAGAAAAAAAATAAAATAATTTAATTAATTCAATATAAAAAATAAAAAAATTATTTAGTTTCGGTTCTTATTCGATTCTTCGGTTCTTAGTCTAGACTCGAGACCTGACCAAAACCCATCGGTTCTCGATTCGGGTATCCGTTCGGGTATTTAATTTATGAAGAACCGCTCGGTTCGGTTCGGTTCGGGTTCGGTTCGGTCTGGTTCGGTTCGAAATTTTTGGACACCCCTAATTGTAATTAGGATTAAGACCATTGAAGTTTAAGAAAATTACAGATTTGGAGTTTTGAAAAGTAAAGTGACTCAACCATTCAAATGATCTTAGAATTCATCATTTTAAGTTAGCATCTTGACCTGAAATTTATGATCAAGTATACTTCGAATTATTACATGGTATTAGATCCTTAAAGGTTGTTTTCCTTGCATATAACATGTTGAAAATGGTTTGATACGATGAAAATGCAAGTATGCAATTTTCTTCAAAGCTTGAAACATTTAATGGCAAGTTATATAATACTCTGTTACCATGTAGAACATGCCTGCAAATTTTGACGTTGTTTCGGTTTGTATTTTGGAAGAAAAGATGAAACCTAGTTGTAAAATTTGAAACTTCATCGCATGATAAATTTTTCTACGAGTTTCAAGATGCCCATTTGATATAGTTGGATATATTTTCTTGAGACCTTTTCAACAGTACGAAGATCATTAATTTTGATCTTAAAATGGTTATGGCCTCCCGAAATTTGGATGAAAAATCTGATTTTTGCATGAAAATTGATAAAATTCGAAACTTCATCACATGATAACTTCTTCTACATTGAGTTTCATATTTCACATTTGGTCTGGTTCGATAGATCTTCTCGAGACCTTTCCAACGATATAAAAATCATTAATTTTGGTCTTGAAATGAAGAAGTTATGACGTCTCGAAGTTTAGTTGAAAATCTAAATTTTTACGTGATTTTTTTGCCATTTCCACTCTCGGATATATTTGTTGATGTCCCAAATGCGGCTTTAAACATTAATTTTATAAAATCTGACCATATAGATGGGCTCAGAATGTCGAAATTAGTCGGGATGAGCAATCAAAAAAATTGAGGACGGCATGGCATGCTCCACATCTAAGCTTGGAGGCGCGTAATTTTTTTAATTAATTTAAAAAGAAAAATAAATTGTAAATTAGTTCCGCGCATGAGGGCATCCGCGTGACCTGATTGCAATTCTAAAAAAATTGCAAATTAGTTGCTAAATTATTCTTGATTTTCAGTAAAATTAAATTAATTTTTGGATAGTTAAATTTTTTTTTTTTTCTGTTAAGCAAAATATAACAATTCTAATTTTACTTCCCATTTGTTGGGATTGTGTGGCAACATATATTAAAGTGAGGTTGAGAATATGTGTTATAAAACTTATATGATGCGAGTTTTAATCTTCGATTGTAATTGAATTTTTTTTTTAAAATAATTAATTTGTGATATCATGGTACATGTCATAATTGGATACATATACATATTTATATTTTTTTATTGCACATTATGATAGTGCCTTATTGGATTACATGATATCTGTTAATTCACGAATTATTATAAATGCTAAGATCAGTAGAATTAGTGAAATTCTTATTTAAATCTATTGATTGTTAGTTGAGTAATAGTTCGGTGATTGGAAAATGTTAGGTTTTAATGTAATTGACAATTATGTGAACAAAATGATTGAAATTAATATTGTTATAAAAGAGTTTTTAAAATTTAAAGGGTCAAGTAGTAAGTTAGAAGTTTTAGGGTTCGAGTATGGAACAAATGAGTAAATGTCACCGCAATTTCGCTAGCCTATCACCCAACTATTTCTAGAAATGTAAAAATAGAAGATGCATCGTCCGCCGTCGCATGGACTTCGCTCGAGCGAGATACCGTCCCTCGCTTGTCGCTGAGCGAGATGTCGCTGAGCTCTCGCTCGAGCGAAGGCATTATTCAGAAAAATCTAATTTGCATTTTCAAGGCTTTTTACACTGCCCATTCTACCTAATTGCCTTCACCTATAAATACCCCACGCCTTGCACGAAATTTGGGGGTTTTGTTCATTGTACCTTTTCTCTATAACATATTCATATTGTTCTTTGAAAATTCAAAAGCATGTTCATGTGTTAATTCAATCCATTTACTCTTGAGATTATACAACCGCATATTAGGAGAAAAAACATCAAATCCAGTGAATCCAAAACACATACTTCCTAAACACCCTTAGAAATGTACTTTCTCAGTTGAACTTTAGAGGCTGCTGGAGGTTGAGAGAGGTTGGACTACAAGCGCAGGAAAAGCATAAGAACGAGGCGTTCTTGGAATTCTACTTGGAAGAGACAATTGCAAAAGATTGGGAGCTGGGGGGTTCAGCTGATCTTGAATGTTATAAAAATTAGATCGAGAAGTCTAGTTGAGTTGGTTAGACATCATCTTACTGTAAATCTGTATTGCTTATATTGGAGGTAACTGACTTGGTTCCTGAGTTTTTACCTAGTAGGATTTCTCCTTCAACAATATTGGTGTTATTTATTATTTTTTCATATAAACTGCGGCAATCCAACACAGGAAATTGAATTGAATGACTAATCATCTAGAAACAATTAAAAAGTGATTTGCTTTTTGATGATTGTATAATTCCGCATGTAAGGTTGAACTTAATAAATTTTCAACTGGTATCAAAGCCTAAATTCGAATCCCGACCTTAGATTTCTAGATGAGTAATTCATTATCTGTCCCGCCATATTTTGATAGCAATAATTATGTCTACTGGAAGGTTAGAATGAGAGCTTTTTAAAATC